TTTTACTAAAATCTCTGTTTTAGAAAATTGACATTCTGTTATTGGGATGTTGTAGTATGAAGAAATGTCGTCTGTTGAGATGGCTAATTCATATCCGTCCTTTTTTAATATTTTTGTTAATTTTTGTAAATCGTCATATAGTATGTTTACGTTAATGAGTCTTGGAGGAATTTTCCCTATTTTGCAGTGTAAGTGTGTACTTGATTCCCTTTCATAATTTATGAATTTTATTAACATTGTAATTACATAAAAAATGATTTCTTGTACCCCTTTTATCTCTTTGTCTATTTTTGCATTTTCTAACAAACCGTTATCCCTTTCTTCTTCGTAAAATTGTTCCAAGCTTTTCTTTAGAATCTCTAATTTACCCGCCGTTATTGTTGTGTAGTTAAGTTGTTAAGTTGGGTTGTAATAGTATTTAGATCTTTATGATCTGATACGAAAACATCTCTAAGTCTATCGGCTTGTTCCTTTAATTTTTCTTCGTTAGTGTAAAAATATTTTATTTGTTTTTCTGTAGCTATATTGCAACAGAAATTGTAAAAATCCCCTATGAATTGTATTCCCCTTCTTGTTCTATAGTTTTTGATTTTATTGTTACTTATTTCTTCTAGTTTTTCCATGTTTTTTTTATTTTTGTCTATGTTAGAGTTTATCAATGAAGAGTGTTTATCAATGAAGAACATTGTTTTAGAGTATGACAGTAAGTTGTGTTTTTGTTTTTACAATATTTTTCTACTTCCAATAAGTTATTTGAAAAGTTGGATTCTTCTGTTATTGTCTTTTGAGTATATATTAAAGGGATGCTCTTATCATAGGTAATCGCTTCCTTGATTTCATTGAAAAATGCCCCTGATGATACAGTGATACTCAGTGGCTCCATTGGACTACATGTTCTCAGGATGAACATACATATTATTGTGTACTGAAACATATTCTAAAACACAATATGATTATAAAAAAAAAGGTGTTGTTACGCTCTTATTATTATTTAGTTATTATGTTATGCTATAATTATTGTTAGTTCTTACTTATATTATTATTTATTTTTTTTTATTTACAGTTAGTTTTTATTTAGTTAGTTAGAGAATGGTTTTAATCTTTGAACATGTATAATATCTGTGGTTTGTTTTCCATTCAATATTAATTCTATTTTGTAATTTACATCCGATATTTTCTCTACTACTTTAAATGGTCCTCTGTACTTATGAGCTAATTTTTTTGTTTTATTTGGCTCCTGAAAATGAAATTTTACTAATACCTGTTGACCTGGTTCAAAAGTAATTGTTCTATGGGTTTTGTCATAATCAAGTTTTTGTTTTTCCTGTTCTTTTTTTATTATTTCTGGTATTTCTTTACGAATTTTTTGTAGTTTTCTTAACGAATCGTTAATTTTGAAATTATCACTAGTTGGTATAATTTTATTATCTATTGGTTGGTTTGCTTCCATACCGTGTAGTAAATAAAAAGGACTAACTTTAAGTCTAGAACTTGGACATGTATTATATGCAAATACAATCATTTTGTAATAGAGTACCCAATCTTTTTGATTTTTATGAACATAATGTGTAAGACTATTACATATTATTTTATTCATTAGTTCGGTCATACCGTTTGTTTGTGGGTGGTAAGCACTTGAGAATACTTGTGTAATACCTAAAAGTTTACATGTTTCTTCTACTTCTTTATTTTTAAAGTGAGTGCCTCTATCACTACAAAAATATTTGGGAACTCCATATGATGTTATCAATTCCATTAAAAATTTTATTGTTTCTGCCCCAGTTGCGTTTGCAACGGCTTTTGCAAAAGCCATTTTTGTTGCATTGCATGTTGCTACTATTAAGTATTTTTTTCCATGAGATGGAGGAAGTGGTCCAAGATAGTCAAAGGTTAACCGTTGTAATGGTTTGCCTGAATCTATTGGTATCGGCTGTAATAATCCTGGAGTTTTTCCTATCGGATTTTTTACTAATTGACACGAAACACAAGAGTTAATAAATTTTGTAGTGTCCTTGATCATATTATTCCAATGGTATTTTAATTTAAGTTTTGCAAGTGTTTTTGTAATACCGAAATGTCCGCTAAATATTGATTCATGATAGGCTTTTAAAATAGTATTAATTAAATTTTTTGGGATTACTATAAGTTTGATCAGTTCATTTTTATTCCATTGTTTATAATAAAGTACGTTATCTATCACACAGTATCTTCGTGATTTTTTTTTATATTTGTCACTGCCTATATTTTTAAGACCTATTAAAATATTTGAACAGAATTCGTCTTTAGACTGTTCAGTTTTTAAAATTTCTATAGACATTTCTTTTTCATTATTATCAATTTTTCCTATTTCTGTTAGGTGTATGGGAAATCTAGATAAGCTATCTGCTGCTAAGTTAGCTGAGCCTGGTTTATGTTTAATTACAAAATCATATTCAATTAATTTAAAAATACTTTTTGTTATCCTAGAAGATGGATTTTTCATGTTTTTAAAATATTGTAAACTAGAATGGTCACTAAAAACTGTGAATGTTCTGCCTAACAAGTATTCTCTAAAATAATTTATTACAAATACTACAGCTGCCATTTCTAATTCTGTAGTTGAACAATTTTTTTCCCCTCCTTTTAATTTTCTTGACGTATATCCTATAGGGTGTTTTTTTCCGTTTTCGTCTTCTTGTTCTAAAATGCCTCCTAGTCCTTCTAATGATGCATCAGTAGTAATAAAAATTTCTCTCCCGTCTTTAAAATGTGCTAATACCGGAGCCGAAGTAATGGCTTGTTTTAAATACTCAAAAGCGTGTTCTTGTTCTTTTTCCCATTTAAATCCTACATCTTTTTTTGTGATTTCTATGAGTGGGTTAGCTATTTTTGAAAAATTTTTAATATATTTCCTATAATATGAACAGAGTCCAATAAATGCTCTAACGTCCTTGATTTTTATTGGTTTTGGAAATAATTTTACGGCTTCTATATTTCGTTCTAATGGTTTTAAACCGTTTTTTGATATTTTTTGTCCTAACAATTCTATTTCTGATTGAAAAAAATGACATTTATTAGTTTTTAATTTTAAACCTATTTCATTTAGTCTAATAAACATTTGTTCTAAATTATGTAATGCTTTTTCGAATTCGTCAGCAAAACAACATATATCATCTAAATATGCTACAATAGACCTATATAAATATTCGCTAAAAGTTTGATTGATAATTCTTTGAAAAATAGGCGCTGAATTTTTCCAGCCTTGTGGTATCCGTTTAAATTGAAATAACCCGAAATCTGTTGTAAAAGCTAATTTTGAGCGGTCTTCTTGTTTTACTGGAATTTGGAAATAGCCTTGTGCCATGTCTATTGTGGAAAAATATTTTGCTCCTTCTAACGCTCTAAATATATCTTGGGCGCGTGGTATTGGATGTCTATCACTTATTGTTTGTTCATTGAGTTTCCTAAAGTCTACCAAAAAACGATATTCTCCCTTTTGTTTTTTTGGTATAAGAAAAACTGGCGCTGCATAATTACTTTTGCTAGGCTCTATTATATCGGCTCTAATCATTTCGTCAGTTAAAAGTCTAAGTTTTTCTCTTTGCGCGGGTGAAACTCTATAAGGTGCCTGAAATATCGGATTTTCCGAACTTAATTTTACTTCACATTCTTCTACCTTTGCACAATTTAAATCAAGTTGATCAGAAGTAAATAAATGTTTATATTTGGATATTAAAATCAATGCTTTTGCCTTTTGTTCTTTTGTTAAATCGTTTGATATTTGTATTACTGTCCCTTGTTTATCGGTTATTTCATTTGGTAATTTATTTATTGTAAAGACGTTAGTATTTTGTTGTATTTCACCTATTACCGTGCCTTCATATATTTTTGTGTATAAATTTGAAAAATTGTAAATTGGAATAGTTGTTTCATTTTTCTTTAAAATATTTGTTTCTAATTTTAAATAATGTTTTTGACTTAAGCGATTCACTGGATTTATAATCATTTGTTTATTGTCTATTTTTATATCCGTTTTAATTTGTATATTAGTTATTACTTTCGGTGGAATTAAAATATCTTGAGTTACTATAATTTTTCCTACTATATTTTCTCTTTCTTTTTCTTTTTCTATGTTAGTTACCCCATTGTATTCAACCCATATTTTGTCCATTTTAATACTATCTCCCGTTTTAAAATTTATTGTTTTGTTATCAAAGTCTATAACTAAATTATATTTCAAACAAAAATTATTACCTAATAAAAATTCGCATGTTAAACCTTTGATTACGTAAGCATTAATTTCGTATTCCGTTTCTAATATGTTTATTTTTAGTTGTGTCGTACCCATATTTTCTAGAATAGAGTTGTCAGCTCCTGTAATAGTTGTTTGTTTTTCTGGTGTTATTAAATTTTTATTTTTTATGAAAGAATACTCAATACAAGATATATTTGAACCTGTGTCTATTATTGCTTGTTTTTTTTTATTTTGAAATTGTATTTCTATGGATAAAACCTGGTTTTTCTTTTTAATGTTATCTAATTTTGTTAATAATTCATTTTTATTTTGTCCGAAGTTGTTTTCAAGTTCTTTTTTATATTGGTTAATTTTTTCTATGTGACCTATTTGTATATTATCATACCAGTTTTTTACAAAAAGTATATGTTGTTCTTTTTCTTTTTTTGCTATTTCAGTAAACTGTTTTTTTTCTTCCCGAGTTTGTTGTCCGATTTTTGCTTCAAACCCGGTCTCTCTTAGTTTTTTACATTATCACACTGTGTAGCATAGTGTCCTCTTCTCTCACATTTATAACACGTTATATTTTCCATTTCACCTCTCATTTCTTTTTGTTTATCTTTATTTCTATATTGTTCCGGTGTCCTTGATCTGCTTTGTCTATCTCGACTATCTTGTATCTTATAATTATCTCTTTGTGATTCTCTAGTGTAACTTTGTTCACGTGAGTCTGGTCTCTCTCTTGAATATGATCTATCTCTATTTCTACGCTGATTATCTCTCGAAAAAGATCGGTTTCTATTATATCTTCTTGAATCCCTGCTTGATTCTCGCGATCTTCCTGGGTATGGACTTTTGTATCTATATTCTGGTTTCCTATAGTAATCTTTATTTCTATTATAATCACGGCCTCTTGTCTCATTATTTCTATAATATCTCTTGTTTTCATAATCGTCATAATATCTATTTTCTCTAAAATCTACAGATCTATTTGTATTCTTTCCCAGCATATTCATTCTTTTGACTTCTTCCGTAAGTTGTTCTATTTTTAATAATAAGTTTTCAGTGTGTTCCTCGTTCTTTTTTATTTCTTTATTTTTATGAAACTCTTGTAATTTAGTCACTTGTAAATTCAGTAAGTCAGTGTAATTGTTAATTGTCGGGCCTCTGTTATTAATTCTATGTTGCATAAGTTCGTATTTTTTTAGATTTTCTTTTAATTTTTTTAAAGTTGTATTATCTTGCATAGAAATTGTATGTAAAATATTCTCTTTTAGTCCTTTTAAAATGTAAATGCATATATCCTCTTCTTTCATGTGAGTTTCAATTTGTCTGCACAAACTTTCGATCTCAGCCATGAAACTTGTTGCCGACTCTGATTCTCCCTGTCTCCTATTTTCTAAATTTGTCTTTAAAATGGTAGTGTAATCAATAGGTAGATATTGATCAATAAACGCATCCTCTATCTCTTTCCATGTCCAATTTGTTTTTAAATTATTTAAATTGTCTAAGAAATTGCTCGCAGTTCCTTTTACAAACATTGGTAAAAATTTTAGTTTATCTTTTTCGTCCCAGTTATTAAAGTCAGTTATCATAGAATATTGTTTTAAGAATTTCTTTACATCCTCATTGCCTGTAAAATAGTCGGGTGTCATTTGTAAATTTCTTTTTCTGTCGGTCATGTTTTGTAAAATTTTTAACTCGTTAGATGATTGTTTTTTTTTATTTTTATCGTCGAATGACACTTCTTTATTTTTTTTGTTGTCAGAAGTAATATGATTTTCACAAGTATTATTGCTAATTTTTAAAGTATTTAAATTGTTTTCTTTTTCTGAATTTTCTGGGATAATATTCTTATCTTTGTTATAGAAACTTTTATTTAAAATGTTAAACCTATCGAAATTGTCACTACGGTTTCCTTCTGTGTTTTGTTCGCTAAAATTTAATAATTCATATGTGTTGTCAGAGTTATTTATGTATTGATTTTCACCGTTATTTATAATTTTTTCGATTGTATTAGTTATGTCCTGAGCTTTGGTATTGATATTTTCATATAATTGTTTTGATTTCTCTACTTCCTCTTTCGTTTTTAAGTTATAATAGTTGTTATCTTCCTCTGAATTTTCCTCAAGCTCAATACCTTCTGTTTTGATTCTATTTTCCACTGAGATATTAATTACAGCCTGTTTTTCTCTTTCTGTTAAAGTTTCTCTAATATCGTCAAGTTCTATGTTACCTTTAAAATATTTTGATAAACGAGCTCTTAATTCTCGAACTGTTCCAGTTGATTTTAAATTTTGTGATATACAAATGTCAATTAACTCAGGTTTTTTTTTATTGTAAATCTCTGTTAACGTTGTTATTGAAAATTCTAAGATGTTATTTTTGCTCATGTCCTTTAAAATTAAATTTTTTTTTTTTTTTTTTTTTTATTCGAAAAAATTTTACAGTATGAAGAAGTTTTGGAATTATTTTTCTAGTATAATGGATACTCTAATATATTTTAAAAAAAATATTATGTGTGCAACAACACTCAAAAAAAAAAAATTTACTTTGAAGTAAAATTGAGTATACTTACCCCTGTTGATGTTCTCGATATCGCTCTGAACGATGTTGCTGTCGAGATTGACCGCGTTCTGGATTCAGGGAACTTCCTCTGCTTTCCGTCCAATGCTTCAATAATGTCGTTGAATTTGACTGTGTTAGAAGAAGAAAACGTTCTTCCTGGCTTGTTGTCGAAAATCAACTTCGAAAAAAACTTCTCAAATCCGTCGAGAAATATCGTGTATACAGTCAATCGTATACACAAATATATACGCGCAGACTTGGTTTCGTAAAATAACGAAAATAAAATGTTCGTATGTACAGACAATTGTACACAAAAAAATGTAAGAACACACACACACAATTTAACTTTGGTAGGTAACGAGCCTTAGTTGGGCGCCACTTTGTCGTATACGCCGATCAAATCGTACGTACAGACATAAACACACAACAGAATTCAATATTACACTTTAGAGAATATAAGCCCTAAGCAGTGGTCGAGTCACACGACCACACACCAGAAGCCCCTTTATTATTCATCCTCCTCTCTTTTATATCATATCTTAACCTACTTACACATATTTATTGCTTATATGCTAAAAGTTATTACAATTGTTGTTCTTATATCTATGTTAAATATTTTTTAAAATAGTGTTTAGAGTTAATACTTCCTATGTTCTAATTACAATATGTCATGACTACGAATTTACAGTATTGCTTAATACAACAGTCCCCGTTGTTAAGAAAAAATATGTCCTCATATTTTAAATAGAAGGAATATTTTGATTAGTTGTTATAATAAAATATGTTTATGTTGCGTTTTTTTTTTGTGGTAGTTTCTGTCTGAGTAGGCTTGTGTTGTTGTCATGTTTTATTCTTGCGTCATTCTTTCATCTGTTGTTGTCCATCATGTGTCCCAAACCTGTTGTTCATGTTCGTGGTAGGATTGTTCGATCTTTACATGTTCGTTGCTGTTATATTCGGTTCATGGACGTAAATGAGTTGTATGATTTACGTGATGTGATCATTCTGTCTCTTGCGGTGTTGGATTACTATAACAAGTCCGACGCCAGTGATCTTTATGTGTCCTACGTCCGCGGTCTGTACCACGTGGACGTTAACTTGATCCGTCTGCGGCGTTTTCGTGGGGCACTTTGTTAAATTTTTGTGTAGAGTTTCGAATGATGATTTTTATTTGACTGTAATTTCATATTTTGTCTATTGTTATATTAGTTAGTATATACATAAATAATTTTCATAACCTTATTACACTTTTTTTTTTTTTTTTTTTTTTTTTTTTACATACGATTCTCGTTTACATCCACACATTTTGCATACAATTGATTGATTCTTATAAGCTAAACAATTTTGTTTGTACTAGTTGTGTGCTAGTTTACAAGTGAAAAAATTTTAATTATGTAATAGTGATTCATTATTATTTACATATATATATATATTTTTTTTTTTTTTTTTTTTTTACATATATGTTTAAACATACGTAAGTACATATGAATATAATAGTATTAATTTTGATACAGTGATTATATATATATTTTTTTTTATTTAGCGATTTGCCTGTGTTGGAGGTTGCCGCTATTGAATTTGTCGTTCCTGTCGATTCCTGTGGATTTAGTTTTATTATTTTAATTTTAATATGAAATGTATGTATTTGTATTAGTTAACGTTGTATGTTTTAAGTTTAAATGTATCATCTAGGCGGAATAGGTGGGGGTAATTGGTGTGCTGTCATCATTAATTGTACTGCTATTATTATTGGATATATTTTATAGATGATAAATAGTATGATTATGGTTAATATGGATAGCCATGTAATATATATAATATCTCCCAAAAGGTCATTTATTAGTCTTTGTGGCATTTTTTCTAAAACAATTTCTTTGAAATATTCTTCGGGGTCTTTTATTTGTTTGTTTATATGAAAGTTTGGGATGTTTTTTTTCCAATCATGATTTAGTATTTCAGTTAAATTTGTGAAAAACATTTTGTCCTTTTGTTCTTCGTGTATAATTTTTAAAGATTTTAAAGTGGTCCAAGATATTGGTAACACTCGTTGTATTGTTAGTGTGTTTGTATTAATTAACTCGCAGGGATACATTTTTGGGATTATTACCTTTTTATTTTGTAATAGTTCGTGGTCACACGGTAGTTTTACTTTAATTAGTCCAGGGTGTTCATAATTAATTTTTAGTTCTTGTATTTCTGTGTTTTCCCCGATCCCGTTTCTAATAAATAATGTTGGTTGTGGATTTGTAACTGCGAAAGTATGAATGCCTATTTGTTTAATTATTGTATCGTCATTTTCGTCTTGTGTTACACATTGGAAGTAACAGTATTTGTTAATTTCGTTTAGGGGTGAATTTTTAAAAATTGATTCGACACATTTTGGCGTTAGTGATATATCTGAAGAAAATTTTGGAATGTAACATAAATCTGTAACAGGAGGGTCACAGTGTTGTAGACCTATTCCTGAAATGATCCTATGTTCATTATTTATTTTATTTACCGCTACGTATGTTTTTTCGGAATATATAATACACGTTGAATTATTTGATTTAAAATGGGCAGGGATGTATTGAAAAAGTTTCCAATTGGTTTTTATTTCTCGGATCGGTATTTTTAATTTTACTAAAATCTCTGTTTTAGAAAATTGACATTCTGTTATTGGGATGTTGTAGTATGAAGAAATGTCGTCTGTTGAGATGGCTAATTCATATCCGTCCTTTTTTAATATTTTTGTTAATTTTTGTAAATCGTCATATAGTATGTTTACGTTAATGAGTCTTGGAGGAATTTTCCCTATTTTGCAGTGTAAGTGTGTACTTGATTCCCTTTCATAATTTATGAATTTTATTAACATTGTAATTACATAAAAAATGATTTCTTGTACCCCTTTTATCTCTTTGTCTATTTTTGCATTTTCTAACAAACCGTTATCCCTTTCTTCTTCGTAAAATTGTTCCAAGCTTTTCTTTAGAATCTCTAATTTACCCGCCGTTATTGTTGTGTAGTTAAGTTGTTAAGTTGGGTTGTAATAGTATTTAGATCTTTATGATCTGATACGAAAACATCTCTAAGTCTATCGGCTTGTTCCTTTAATTTTTCTTCGTTAGTGTAAAAATGTTTTATTTGTTTTTCTGTAGCTATATTGCAACAGAAATTGTAAAAATCCCCTATGAATTGTATTCCCCTTCTTGTTCTATAGTTTTTGATTTTATTGTTACTTATTTCTTCTAGTTTTTCCATGTTTTTTTTATTTTTGTCTATGTTAGAGTTTATCAATGAAGAGTGTTTATCAATGAAGAACATTGTTTTAGAGTATGACAGTAAGTTGTGTTTTTGTTTTTACAATATTTTTCTACTTCCAATAAGTTATTTGAAAAGTTGGATTCTTCTGTTATTGTCTTTTGAGTATATATTAAAGGGATGCTCTTATCATAGGTAATCGCTTCCTTGATTTCATTGAAAAATGCCCCTGATGATACAGTGATACTCAGTGGCTCCATTGGACTACATGTTCTCAGGATGAACATACATATTATTGTGTACTGAAACATATTCTAAAACACAATATGATTATAAAAAAAAAGGTGTTGTTACGCTCTTATTATTATTTAGTTATTATGTTATGCTATAATTATTGTTAGTTCTTACTTATATTATTATTTATTTTTTTTTATTTACAGTTAGTTTTTATTTAGTTAGTTAGAGAATGGTTTTAATCTTTGAACATGTATAATATCTGTGGTTTGTTTTCCATTCAATATTAATTCTATTTTGTAATTTACATCCGATATTTTCTCTACTACTTTAAATGGTCCTCTGTACTTATGAGCTAATTTTTTTGTTTTATTTGGCTCCTGAAAATGAAATTTTACTAATACCTGTTGACCTGGTTCAAAAGTAATTGTTCTATGGGTTTTGTCATAATCAAGTTTTTGTTTTTCCTGTTCTTTTTTTATTATTTCTGGTATTTCTTTACGAATTTTTTGTAGTTTTCTTAACGAATCGTTAATTTTGAAATTATCACTAGTTGGTATAATTTTATTATCTATTGGTTGGTTTGCTTCCATACCGTGTAGTAAATAAAAAGGACTAACTTTAAGTCTAGAACTTGGACATGTATTATATGCAAATACAATCATTTTGTAATAGAGTACCCAATCTTTTTGATTTTTATGAACATAATGTGTAAGACTATTACATATTATTTTATTCATTAGTTCGGTCATACCGTTTGTTTGTGGGTGGTAAGCACTTGAGAATACTTGTGTAATACCTAAAAGTTTACATGTTTCTTCTACTTCTTTATTTTTAAAGTGAGTGCCTCTATCACTACAAAAATATTTGGGAACTCCATATGATGTTATCAATTCCATTAAAAATTTTATTGTTTCTGCCCCAGTTGCGTTTGCAACGGCTTTTGCAAAAGCCATTTTTGTTGCATTGCATGTTGCTACTATTAAGTATTTTTTT